TATGTGATGTTTTTTTTTTTTTTGGGTTCTCTCTTTTTTTTAAACGTTTTCTCGTTCTTTTCCTTTTTCATAACTGGGGTCTGGGTTGTCGTGATTACCCCTTTTTCACCGATTGTAGTAATAGTGACAACGAAGTTTCATCGAACGAGACCCATTAACCAATCGACCGGTGTACGGTAAGCTTACCTAATCGTGCTTAGATCGAATTGCTAACACCAATCAATCACCTAATCAATCACTTACTCAATCACCTAATCAATCCCTTAATCAATCATTTAATCAATCACTTGCTCAATCACCTAATCAATCCCTTAATCAATCACCTAATCAATCACTGAATCAATCACCGGTGATTGCCATTAGCAGCCGCATTGTAGGGCAACAACCTCCCAGGGGATGATTGGACGTTGGGGGCCTGACGTGGACCATATCTACTAGTCACCGGAATGCGGGTGCGCGAAACGTTGGTAAGCCCTGGAATTTCAGCAATTCTCGACGGAGTTGTCAAAAAAAAAGAAAAAAAAAAAGAAGAAATTATTAAAAAAAAGGCGGAAAGTCGATGTAATTGATTACTTTTACTTTCCGTTTCCTACAAGGGGGATTAATAATTAATCGTTTCGGGAATATTTCCTTTTCTGGAAATTACGGCTTGTCGCGGACCATATCTGCAAGTAGTAATGCGCGTGGGCAAGACGTTCCTAAACCCCTCAATTTGAGCAATTGACGAATTTTTTTTTTTTTTTTTTTCCTCCTTAAAGAAGAAGTAAAAGATAACGGAATGTCGATGTCATTGATTACTTGCCGTTTCATACACGGGGAGTACTAATTAATCGCTCGGCAATATTTCCTATTCTGGAATTGTTGGTTGAGAGAGGCGAACCTCCCTTCTCTCTGCTCCTCCCCCGCGCTTTCCCCCGCGTTCGCTTAACCACACACACAAACATACACACACCCCTCCAAATTACGTTCTTTGGCGCTGCCCAGGGGTCTATCCCTGTTCTCCTTACTCATTCCGTCTCACTGGGCTCCATTCTTTTTTTTTTTTTTTTTTTTTTTTTTTTTTT